AGGAGTGGCTGGTGGGTTTGAACTGCCAGCCTTCTGGTTAGCAGTCAAGTGCCTTAGGCACTATGCTACCAGAGCTCCTTTACTACAATCATACTGGCCCTAAATCATTTTCCAAAGGCAGAGCACACGCTCATAACTCCATATTGCGAGATTAGTCTGAAACACTCTATCTTCTTCTTCACCTTCTGAAAGTCAATGCTTCTCTCATCTTCCTATTCCCAGGAAGATGCCCCTTCCACTTCATATGTATTTTTACTCAGATTTCCCCTGTGATTAATATTAAATGCTATATTATTATTTGACATTCAATAATTATTTGACAGAATTTAATACAGTCTCGTGATTTGAAAGATAGGAAACTCTTAGGGAACCAGAAATGGAAAAAATTTCCCAAATGTGACAAAGTACTTTTTTAAGAAACCAGTTTCACATTATCAAAATTCATGAAAAAACATCAGAGGCATCATATGAGAGGAACAGGCTAGAATGTCCACTTTTGCTATGGTAATGTTATGTTAATGTTATAAACAACCCAATAAGAGGAAGATGTAAGAGGTATAAATATAGAAAAGAAAATTAATTTCATTTAGAAAAAAATGTAAAAGAACCAAAAAATTTTTTTAAAGAATGAAATTTCATAAAGATTACTAATGCTAATAAATAACATTAAATAAGTATTTTTAAGCTCTATTAATTAAAAAGGTGAGGCTCTGGTGTAGAACATATATAAACAGAATGGGTAAGTCCACAAACATTCGTATGTGCATGTATGTGTGATGTGCATACACATAAGTTGTCAGACGCTGTTATTTTTTGACTCATAGTGATCCCATGTGACAGACTGGAACTACATCATAGCTTTCTAGCCTGGATCTTTACTAGAGCAGACTCCCAGGTCTTTCTCCTGTGGAGCCACTGGGTGGATCCGAACTGCCAACCTTCCAGTTACCAGCTGAGCGCTTAATCATTGTACCACTACACAAAGGAGCATTTTAAGTGAGTAGAAAAGGACTGTTAAACTGATCTATTCACACACCAAATACGTAGTGATACTGCCTCGGAAACCCAAGGAGGGGTCGCTATGAATTGGGGCCGACTCGACAGCAAATAACGACAATGCGAAACAGGTAGGATTTTTAACATACAGTTTCGAAAGAAAATATAGAAGATTATTTTTTTGATGGTAGGGTAGGCACAGAATTTCTATATATGATAAAGCTAAATATCATAAAGGCAAAAAGATCAATATATTTGATAAAATTGTGAACAGTAATAATACGTAAAAAAAGTTAAGCAACAAATAAATTACCTGCCATATGATAGACAGAGTGTCATTAACGTTTAGAGACATTACAAATAATTAACACAACTCTTAATGGCCCAAAATAAAAAAAGGTACAAACAATATAACCAGTAAATTCAACTTTTTTTATTATCTCTCCCCTCGAGGAGTCTTTTTAGATTTTTTGTAATATCTGCTCTTAAAATTTTAATACTACCATGTACCTCTTTTATGTATTACATGTGTATCTGTGCTTTATAAATAAAGAGAGTTAATTTTCTTTACCCCTCCAAGAACGAATTTTCAAATGCATAATTGTAACATGAACAACAACACTTGGAAATATCAGTGCAACACCAATCTACAAATAATAAAGACAGAAGACATAAACTAACATATGCTTTTGTGTGTGTGCATTTTGTGATAAATAAACCCTTTAATTGCTATATGTAACAACTTACAAACCTTATTTGCATGTAAGTTTTCTTCCTCCTCTCCAATTAAATGTGTAATAATAACCATCCACCCACTGCTATCAAGTCAATTCTGACTCATAGCGACCGTACAGGACAGAGCAGAATTGCCCCATAGGATTTCCAAGGCTGTGAATCTTTATGGAAGCAGACTGCCTCATCTTTCTCCAAACAGAGCAACTAATGGGTTTGAACCACCAACCTTTTGGTTAGCAGATGAATATGTTAACCACTACATCACCTTTAATACCTCCTTTAATAACCATGTCTGTGCAATTAACTACATCTGTGATTGCCTTGAGAGACATAATTTTAGAACAGAAAAAAATTTAGGCGTCAATGTTTGTACTAGCCTCTTCCTTGATGAAACTCTTTTCTCTATTCAGAACCCTCCTGCCCCCATAAACTCATCTGCTTAACTCCAATGCATCCTTTGGATATAAGTTTAAATGTCACTTTCTCAGAAACAATCTCTGATCTCCAATCTAAAACAGGTTCCTCTGGTATACTCTCACAGTGCCTATACTACTTCTTCATAGACACATCAGTAATCATGTACTTAACTGTTGGTAACTTGTTGAATGTCTGGGTCCCTTACACTGAAAGCACTATGAGAGCAAGGACTAGGTCTGTTCTGTTCACAGTATATATGGATTTACATGTTGTTGTTGTTGTTCTGTGCCGTCGAGTTGGCCCCGCCTCATAGTGACCCCTCCTTGGGTTTCTGAGGCAGTATCACTATGAAAGTAGATCGCCCAACCTTCCTTCCAAGGAGTGGCTGGTGGGTTTGAACCACCAGCCTTCTGGTTAGCAGTCAAGTACCTTAGGTACTATGCTACCAGACCTCCTAGGTCCCTATTCCCAGTGTATCCTAATTTTATACATCCCATCTGGATATGAAACTTGCTTTTGAACAGAGTACCTAAGGCAAATGGAAGAAATAACAAGATAAAAGAGCTCAACAGAAGATTTCAAAGAGCAGCGAGAGAAGACAAAGTTAATTATTATAATGAAATGTGCAAAGACATGGAGTTAGAAAACCAAAAGGGAAGGACATACTTGGCATTTCTCAAGCTGAAAGAACTGAAGAAAAAAATTAAGCCTTGAATTGCAATACTGAAAGATTCTATGAGCAATATGATGCAGGAAACATCAAAAGAAGATAGAATACACACAGTCACTGGGCCAAAAAGAATTGGTCAATGTTCATCCATTTTAAGAGGTGGCATATGATCAAAAACTGATGATATTGCAAGAAGTCAAAGCAGCACTAAAGAATTGGTGAAAAACTAGGCTCCAGTAATTGACAGAATACCCACTGAGATATTTAAGCAAATGGCTGCCACGCTGGAGGCACTTACTCATCTATGCCAAGAAATGTGGAAGACAGCTACCTGACCAATCGACTAGAAGAGAGCCATGTCTGTATCTATTCCAAAGAAAGGTGATCCCACAGAATGTGGAAATTACTGAGCAGTATCATTAATACTACAAGCAAGTAAACTCTTGCAAAAGATAAAAAAGAAATTTAAAAAATTACAGCAATATATTGATAGGGAACTTTCAGAAATCCAAGTTGGATTCAGAAGAGGACATGGAATGAGGGATATCATTGGTGATATCAAAGAGATCTTGGCTCAAAGCAAAGAATACCAGAAATATGTTTACTTATGTTTTATTGACTATGCAAAAACATTTGACGTGTGCATAACAAATTACGGATAACATTGAGAAGAACGGGAATTTCAAAACACTTCACTGTGCTCATGAGGAACGTATACATAGACCTGAAAGCTATGGTTCAAACAGAATAAGAGGATATTGCATGATTTAAAATCAGGAAGGGAGTGTGCCAGGGTTGTATCCTTTCACCATACTTATTCAACCTGCATGCTGAGCAAATAATCTGAGAAACTGGATTATATGAAGAATGTGGCATCAGGATTGGAGGAAGACTCATTAAAAATCTACAATATGCAGACAATACAAGCTTGCTTATTGAAAGTGAAGATGACTTAAAGCACTTACCGATGAAGATTAAAGACCACAGTATGGATTACACCTCAAAATAAAGGAAATGAAAACACTCACAAACTCTCTTTTTTGGATACCAGGGGTTGGAGGGGAGGGGAGGGGAGAGAACACCATAAAAATAAAAAATTAAAAAAAAAAAAAAAAAAAAAAACCACAACATATAATTAAAAAAAAGAAAATCCTCACAACTGAACCAATAAACAGTATCATGAAAAATGGAGAAATGATTGAAGTTGTCAAGGATTTCATATTACTCAGTTCCACAATCAACTCCAATGGAAGCAGTCAGTAGTCAAGAAATCAGACAATGTATTGCACTGGGCAAATCTGCTGCAAAAGACCTCTTTAAAGTGTTGAAGAGCTGTACATAAATTATATTTCAATAAAATATATTTTAAAAATTATATCTATATTTTTTTAATATGTATTTTGTATATATTTTATATGTGAAGAGCATATAAAGTGCTGAAGAGCAAAGATGTCTCTGAAAACTAAGGTGAACCTAACCCAATCCACGGTGTTTTCAACTGTTACATATGCATGTGAAAGCTGGACAATGAACAAGGAAGACCAAAGAGTTAATGCTTTTGAGTTGTGTTGGCAAAGAATACTGAAAGTACCATGCACTGCCAGAAGAACTAACAAATCTGTCCTGGAAGAAATGTACCCGGAATGCTCCTTGGACGTGAGAATGGCCAGATTTCATTTCACCTACTTTGGTCATGTTGTCAGAAGGGACCATTCTCCCTGAAGAATGTTTGGTAAAGTGGAAGGTCAGTGAAAAAGAGGAAGGTCCTCTATGAGATGGATCGACACAGTGCTTGCAAAATGGGCTCAAGTATAGCAAGGATTGTGAGGCTGGTGCAGAACTGAGGAGTGTTTTGTTCTGTTGTACATAGGATCCTGAAGAGTCAATGGCACCTAACAACAGCAACAATCTGGGTATATGTTCTTAAAAAAATCATACTAAAAGAGTTCCTGATATTAGAACACACTTCAATCCACAGGAGGATCAGAAAAGACTATTAAAGCATTTCTTGGGTCACTCCAAGGAGCTCTCGTGGCACAATGCCTAAGGCATCTGACTGCTAACCAGAAGGCTGACAGTTCAAACTCACCAGCCATTACATGGAAGGAAGACAAGGCAATCTACTTCCATAAAGATTTACAGCCTTAGAAATCCAACGGCAGTTGCTGAGTCAGAATGGGCTTAATGGTAGTGGGTTTGGGTTTTTTTTTTTTTTGGTTTTTGGTCATTCAAAGGAACTCTGGTAGAGCAGTGTGTAAGACATTTGAGTGCTGATCAAAAGGTCAGCAGTTCAAACCCACCAGCTGCTGTGCAGAAGGAAGATGAGGCAATCTACTTCCGTAAAGATTTACAGCCTTGGAAACCCAAAGGGGTCACTGTGAGTTAGAATTGATTTGATGGCAGTGGGTTGGGTCACTCAAATGACAGCTACTAGAATACCTTAGCAAATCACACAAATTCTGAAACAACATCAGTTGTATTATGTAGTTGACAGTCAATCAATACTTTAACAAGTCTCTTAGAAATTCAGAAAATATCCAGTGAACCATGCCATGCCCACTGTCCTTAAACTTTGCCAATTCAGTTATATTGACGTTTTTACACCTGCAGATCGCATACTCTCTTTTACCACTTCCCATACTTCTCTTGATCTGTGTTAGCATTTCTGGAGAGCATAGGGCAAGTCATAAATCATATTCCCAGAGCCCAGAAAGGTTGAAGTACATATTTACCTCATTAAAACATACATTACCTGCACAGAAGAAACAGGGTCTCTGGAATCAACATAAATATTTTTTAGTAATGAAAGCAGCTTGTCATCTCTTCTTGCAATTTCTCTTTTAATTTCTGGATGGCCTATGGGGGAAAAAAAAGATCACCACAACAGTAAAACAAAACAAAACTTCTTCTAAGATTCTAAGCACAAGACAGCCACTTTTCAATTCCTTTTAAACTAAACAATCGTTTGAACAGTACGGATTTTAAATGTGGATCAAAATAGTAGATCGGGCTCGGCGTTAATCCTTCTGTGAAGACACCTGGAGAAATCTCCGATACTCGGTGGCGTAGTGCCTAAGGCACTTGACTGCTAACCAGAAGGCTGGCGGTTCAAACCCACCAGCCACTCCTCGGAAGGAAGATGGGGCAATCTACTTCCGCAGTAGACCTAAGGAGGGGTCGCTATGAGAAGGATCCGACTCGATGGCAGTGAGAGTGATTCAGTCCTTTCAAGGACTGACTATCACACCGGGAATACGGTCATTCACTTCTGCTGCACACAATCCCGACTCTCTGCTGCAAGTCTCTTAAGCATTAAAAAGAAAAGCCTAAGAAAGACGGATCACCGAAGTCTACCAAGCAAGTGGAGGTGCGGACTCAACTGCGGGCTCTAAGGGGACATTCTCAATGTCACCGGCCTAGTGGCTCCACCTCCCCCGCGTCCGGCCTGCGCCTCTCCGGCCCGAGGGCGGCTGAACCAAGTCGCTGCACCCACACAGATTTACTGCAGTCACCCTGGCCTCCAGGCCAGAGCCACGGGTGCGGAACTGCCCTCCCTGCCATGGGAACCCGCACTCCCCCGCACCACTCACGGCTCATCTCCTCTCGAAGTAGGTTCTTCGTGGAGCCGTGCTTGGGAGCCAGAGTAGGCTTCATCTTGCTGATCTCCCTTTCAGCCCGATTCTCTATATTGAAGTTCCTGATCGCGCGAGTCACCCAGCCTCCCATCTCCTCACAGCATGATGCCCTTAGGCTCACGCCGCATGTGGAATTGGAGCAGAACCTTGCAGTCTCCGTAACGCACAGAGCATGCGCCCGTCTGGCCGGGACAGGCAGCGCGCTCCGAGACAAGCACTAAATGAGCGTAGGTCGCCCCCTGGCGGTTAGGAGGCCAAATGTTCTGCTCAGAACAAATCAGAGGTAGCACCTCCCACTCCTCCCACCAGGGCCAGCTTCCTCTAGGTCGTACTCCTGTGGCTGAAGGCTTGTGAAGTAACCTGGAGCTTTAAACTGATTCCATTTCCAGTCCCCTTCAGACTTTCTGATTTAATTGGTTTAAAGGGAAGCATGGTAGCATAGTGGCTAAGCTCTGGTAGCATAGTGGCTAAGACACTTGCCTGCTAACCAGACGGCTGGCGGTTCAAACTCACCAGCCACTCCTCGGAAGGCAGGTTGGGCAATCCTACTTCCGTAGTGATACTGCCTCGGAAACCCAAGGAGGGGTCGCTATGAGTCGGGGCCGACTCAACGGCACATAACAACAACAACAAAGGGAAGTAGGATTGCCCAACCTTCCTTCCGAGGAGTGGCTGGTGGGTTTGAACCGCCAGCCTTCTGGTTAGCAGTCAAGTGTCTTAGCCACTATGCTACCAGAGCTCCTAATGTTTAAAACCTTCCCAGAATGCAGTGATTGCAAACTGCAGTCCTAGTCAAGAGTGAAACCCTAGGGAAACTGACCTTGAAGTAATTTCACAAGTCAACCCATCAAGAGAGGAGGTCAATAAAAAGGAAACTAATTATATAATGTTTATTACTTCAAAAGGGTGTTTATCTGTGGTTTTTTGACTATGGAAAGGCATTCAACTGTGTGGATCATAACAAATTATGGATAATATTTCTAAGAATGGGCATTCCAGAACACTTAATTTTGCTCATATGGAACCTTTACATAGACCAAGAGGCAGTCATTACAACAGAACAAGGAGATTCTATGTGGTTTAAAATCAGAAAAAGGTGTGCATCAGGGTTGTATCTTTTCACCATACTTATTCAATCTGTGTGCTGAGCAAATAATCTGAGAAGCTGTACTATATGAAGAAGAATGTAGCATCAGATTGGAGGAAGACTCATTAACAACCTGTGACAAGCAGATGACGTGATCTTCCTTGCTGAAAATGTAGATGACTTGAAGCAATTACTGATGAAGACCAAAGACTTCAACCTTCAGTATGCATTGCATCTCAATATAAAGAAAACAAAAATCCTCATAACTAGACCAATAAGCAGCATCATGATAAATGCAGAAAATATTGAAGTTGTCAAATTTTTCATTTTATTTAGATCCACCATCAACACCCATGGAAGCAGCAGTCAAGAAATCAAATGATTGTAAATCTTCACCCAAATCAAAATAAAATTAAAAGAAAAACAAAAAACTAAGAAAGTAAAAAAAAAAGAAATCAAATGACACCTTGCATTGAGCAAATCTGCTGCAAAACACCTCTTCAAAGTGTTAAAAAAAAAAAAAAAGTCACTTTGAGGACTGAGGTGTGCCACTTCATAACATGAATGAACTTGGAGGACGTTGTTGTTGTTGTTAGGTGCCATCAAGTTGGCTCCAACTCATAGCATAATGGAAGACATTATGCTGCATGAAGTAAGTCAGTCACTTTTACATACACAATACTACATTATCAGTAATAACAAACATTAATATATGGGTGGATACATAGATGGCTGAATGATCAGGTAAGTCTAGGCAAAAGGGAATATACCCATGACCATATATAAGTTTGGTAGATGTTATTTCTACATAAGTATTTGTATGTGCTATAAGAAAAGTTATGATAACTTCTTAGCCACAGCCAACCACTCTGAGGGAGCAAGTTCTTGGGCCCGTGGGCTCAGGACCAAGGACACAGAGGATATCAAGCTCAACTGGTACAACATACTATACAAAATCATTGTTCTACATCCTACTTCGGTGAATAGGGACTGGAGTCTTAAAAGCTTGCAAGCAGCCGTCTAAGATGCAACAATTGGTCTCTTCTTGTCTGAAGCAAAGAAAAGTGAAGAAAACCAAAGACACATAGAAACAATGAGTCCAAGGGACTAGTGGACCATGAGACCCTCATCCTACATGAGCTTGAGACCAGAAGAACTAAATGGTGCCTAGTTATCACTGTCAACCACTTAGAAAGGGATCAAAATAGGAGATCCTGGATAGAGTGGGAGAAAAATGTGTAACAAAACTAAAAATCAAAAAACAGGCTTACTGCTCAGATAGAGACTGGCAAAACCCCTGAGATTAGGGCTCCTAGTCACCTTCAGACCTAGAATTGAACTCACTCCACTGGCTTCCAGCCAAAAAATGTTGTTGTTTTTAGGCACTGTCAAGTCATCTCCAACTCACTGACCCTATGCACAACACAATGAAACACTGCCCAGTCCTGAGCCAGCCTCACAATCCCTGCTATACCTGAGCCCATTGTTGCAGCCACTATGTCAATCCATCTCATTGAGGGACCATCCCCTTTTTCACTGACCTTCCACTTTACCAAGCATAGCATCCTTCTCCAGGGATGGTCCCTTCTGACAATATGACCAAAGTAGGTGAGACGAAGTCTGGCCATTCTCACTTCTAAGGAGCATTCCTCCTGCACTTCTTCCAGAGCAGATTTTTTAGTTCTTCTGGCAGCCCATGGTACTTTCAGTATTCTTTGCCAACACTACAACTCAAAAGCATCAACTCTTCTTCAGTCTTCTTTATTCTTTGTCCAGCTTTCTCATGCATATGAGGTGATTGAAAATATCATGGTTTGGGTTAGGCACACCTTAGTCTTCAAAAAGAGATCTTTGCTCCTCAGCACTTTAATTAAAGAGGTCTTTTGCAGCAGATTTGCCCAAGCCAATATGTCATCTGATTTCGTGACTGCTGCTTCCATTGGTGTTGACTGCTAACCAAAATTTTGGGGATTCGAAGCCACCAGCCATTCCAAGAAAGGTGTGGCAGTCTTCTTCCTTAAACATTTATAGCCTTGGAAACCCTTTGACACAGTTCCACTCTGTCCTAAAGGGTGTCTTTGTGATGAAATCAACTCATTGGGATTGAGTTTCATTTGTGGGGGTGGGGATTACACCACAATCAAGGAAGGTTCTAATGTTGCCCTTTCCTGCTTTTGTGAAAGAAAAATAATAAAAGTATAATCCTTCTCGATGAATGTTTGTTCTTATCCATTCTCTTTTTTAAGTTGCCCCTTATTTTCCTGTCCCCTTGCCTGATGCATTTCTGAGCCACCATATTCTCTCTCTCTCTTTTTTTTTATTGTTTACACTTTGCTCTCCTAACTTATCATTTGACCTAATGATACTGGTGTCAGCTATGTTTCCCTTTCCCTTTTCCCTTTTCCTGTAATTTGTTTCATTTTTCCATGCTATTAAGTGCTGTTAGCACATCATTCTCTAGTCTATTTAAGTCAGAGGAGACATTAGAAAAAAAGGAGTGCTGTTGCATTCTGTCTCTCACCTCTCTTTCACTCTCTTTCTCACTTCCTTCTCCCCCACCTCTCTCTCTGTTTCTCACTCTCGTTTACACACACACATACACACACACACACCTGTCTTTCCTTCTCTTTCCACCTCTTTCTTCCTCTATTTCTGAATGGGTTACTGTGTTGCTGCTTTTATATAAGAGTTCTCAGAAATATTGTGATTAATCTATAATAGAAGAAACCAACAAGGAAGGAAGCAGTGGGATTTCCAAAATTACAATATTTTCACAGACTATAGGAGCCAGACCAGTTTTAGTGTTCCCAGTTCTGGTTAGTAAATGAAGTAGATTATTTTTAAGTAATTAAAATCAAGGAGAAGACTTGAAGTAAAGAAAATGGAAAAAAAAAAAAAAGGGCAGTTTTATTTGAGGAAAATTAATGTAATTGTTAAATATAATGGGTTAATCTCTGTGAAAGCACTACAAGGAACATAGTTTCCACCTTTGATTATCTTGAATCATTTTTGCTAGGATTAATTAGTGTGTGGTATTTTATAGAGGTTAAAACAGTGTTCTCTGGTCGAGTTAATGGGGACGTTATCCTGAAGGTGGCAGACTGCTCCAAGATTTCCATCTTTGAGATTTTTAACTAAAAAAAAAGAAAGAAAGAAAAGAAAACTCATTGCCGTCAAGTCGGACCTACTCATAGTGACCCCTCCTTGGGTTTCCAAGGCAGTATCTCTATGGAAGTAGATGGCCCAATCTTCCTTCCAAGGAGTGTCTGGTGGTGGGTTTGAACCGCCAGCCTCTGGTTAGCAGTCAAATGCCTTAGGCAAGCACATTAATTCAATGTTTTTAACCAAGGTATGTTGTATTTCTATGGGTGCCAAGAAAATTTCATCTGTCTCATCCTATGCGCTCCAATAGTTATGGTAGCAGTTCCACTCTCTGCCTGTTAAAGTTTTACAAGTGAAAAGTTCATTTCATAGACGTTTGACCATACTTCTGACAGCATGAAAAAAGTCATGTTAGATGGAAGTTTCAGCAAGTGTCTGGGCTGTGGAGATTACAGGATGAATTAATTCCTTGAATTCTCGTATTCAGGTAGAACTTGAATCCAACAGTTAAGGAACATCTGACCTGTGATAGCGGCTTTGCCTGGACTTGGCTCAGGGATGTTCAGACCTTTAAGGGGCTGAATAAAGGCACAGTACTCCACTAGAAGCACACAATTAGCTGTTACCCCATGGGGATCATCTTGGAAATAAAACCTGAACCACCAATGCATAATTCCAGCTCTTCTTGCCAAAACATATAAATTAAGAGAAGTCTGAATTCAGAATTCCCCCTGGTTTATGGTAGGAGTCCAAGTCTTACCATAGACTTAATAGCCAATTCTCCCCTAAGGAAACTCTAACTAGGATGCTACTCAGAGTTAAGCTTCTCTTGGTGAAGCAGAGTCAGCAAAGTGGACTGACGCAGTGGCTGCAGCATTAAGCTCAAGCACAGCAACGATTGT